GTTAAAATCCCCTACTATAATTTTGTTGCTGTCAATATCTTTCTTGAAATCCTCTAAGATTTTTTTGATATATTTAGGTGCTCCTATGTTGGGTGCATATATATTTACGATGTCAATGTCTTCTTGGTGGATTCTTCCCTTGAGTATTATGAAGTGACCTTCTGGGTCACTTTTTTTTGTTTTTGAAGTCTATGTTGTCTGATATGAGAATTGCTACCCCAGCTTTTTTTTCCTGTCTGTTTGCTTGGAAAACTTGTTTCCAGCCCTTCACTTTTAGTCTGTGATGGTCTTTTGTCCTGAGGTAGGTCTCTTGTAGGCTGCATATTTGTGGGTCATGCTTTCTTACCCATTCAGCTATTCTGTGTCTTTTGATTGAAGAATTTAATACATTTACCTTTAAGGTTATTATTGATAGGTACTTATTCATTGCCATTTTAGTACCTATGTTCCTCTCTGCCTCTCTCTTTTCCTTCCTTTCCTTAAAGCAGTCCTTTTAGTATTTCTTGTAGGGCTGGTTTAGTGGAAGCATATTCTTTTTGACTTCTTTTGTCTTGGAAGCTCTTTATTTGGCCTTCTATCTTGATTGAGAGCCTTGCTGGGTAAAGTAGCCTTGGTTGTAGGCCTTTGATTCTCAGTACTTGGAATATTTCTTGCCATTCTCTTCTTTCTTGGAGTGTTTCCATTGAGAAGTCAGTAGCTAACCTTATTGGGGCTCCCTTGTATGTTACTTCTTTTTTCTCCCTTGCTGCCTTTAAGATTCTCTCTTTGTCTTGGAATTTTGCCATTTTGATGATGATGTGTCTTGAAGTGGGCCTCCTTACATTTCTCTCGATTGGGACTTTGTGTAATTCCTGGATTTGTGTGACTTTTTCTCTCATCAAATTAGGGAAATTTTCTCTCATTACTCTTTCAAATAGGTTTTCTATCCCTCCTTCTTCTTATCCTTCTGGTATTTCTATTTTTGGATATTATTATGTTTCATATTGTCTTGCATTTCTCTTAATCCCTCTTCATTCTTTCTGAGTCTCTTTTCCTTTTCCTGCTCTTTCTGGGAGATGCTTTCTACTTTGTCCTCCAACTCACTAATCCGATCCTCTGTCTCATCGACTCTACTTTTAATACTTTCTACTGTGTTTTTCAGTTCAGAAATTGTATTCTTCATTTCCTCTTGTCCCTTGTTAATAGTTTCCATTTCCTTTTTTATGTTGATGTAGTTCGTGGTGAGATCATTGTAGCTCCCCTGTAGTTTCTGGTAGCTCATTGTGAGCTCTTTGAACTTCCTGATAACCAGTGCTTTGAATTCAGTGTCTGATAGTTGACTTGCCTCTATTTCATCCAACATTTTTTTTCTGAGGTTTCCTCCTTTTCTTTCATTTGGGGATTTTTTTCTTTGTCTTCCCATTGTTTGTGAGACTCTTCTTCTTAGCCTCAGCTTCTTAGGTTGATCTGTGCTGACTCCCTGGGTTTATGGTGTGAGCTTCTGTGGTGAAATGCCTGTGAAATTCAGTGGTGCAGTCTCTTTTGGTTATCCTCTCGTTCTCTGCTTCCACCTACTCAAATATGCATCAACTTTTAGCTTCTCTCCTACAGCAAAGTGAGATTTTTCTCTCTGACTCTACCATTGGGAAGCCTCTTCTATGGGTCCAGCTATGGTGTTTTTGTGTTTTCAGGTTGTTTGTGTCTCTTGTGGGTAAAAGAAAGAAAAGACAAGGAAAGAAATAAAAGAACAGAAAAAAAAAGGCAAGGGAATGGAGGAGAGAACAATGAGTTTGGAAAGAAAGGAAGAAGGAATAAAACAGAAAATACAAAAAAAGAGGACAAAAGTATTGAATGATGAAACAATAATAAAATTTAAAAATATCAGATTATGTCTGGTTCCTATTTTCATATATGCTGAGCAACTGCTGGGTGCCTGGCTTCTCCTCCACCAATCGTACAGGATTCTCTCTCTTGTGTACAAGGAACTGGAATCTGCTCCATCCTACTCCATCGCCATCTTGCCTCCCCTCTCCTCAATTTCTATAACAAAAAACAACAATAACATTCCTCCTGAGATTTTTAATAGAGTTGTAATCAATCCATCTATTACCTTGAGAAAAATTGACATCTTAATAATATTGAGTCTTTCCACCTATAAACATGATATAGATGTGTGTATACACACACACACATATATATATATATGTACGTATGTATATATATGTATATATGTATGTATATACATTCATTTATTTAGGTTTTCTTTAAATTCTCTCAATAATGTTTGGATAGTTTTCACTGTACAGGCCTCACGTATGTTTTGTTAATTTTATCTCTATGTGTTTTATATTTCTGATGCTATTGTAAATAGTAATATTATGTTAATTTCTCATTATTTTTATTAAGCAGACATACATTCAATTTTTGTATCATCTCTCCTGAAACCTTATAACCTGCAAATTCACTATGCTTCCTTATTAGTTATTCCATCTTTGTAGATTTTATCAGTTTTCTGCATAGATGATCATGTTGTCTGAGAACAAAGATAATTTTTCCAAACTAAATGGATTGAATTTCTGTATTTTGCTTAGTGCATTGACTAAATTTTCAGTACAATGTTGAATAGGAGTGGTGAGAATATGTATTTTTGCTTAATTCTTGATCTTAGGGGAAAAGCTGTCAGTCTTTTATAATTTATATGTATATATTTAAATATATATTATAAAATATTATATATAATTATATACAGATATATATATATATATATATATCCTTTATCAGGATGATGAATTTTCTTCTATTTCCAGTTTTTGAGAATTCTAATCAAGAATAAAAGTTAGATTTTAAATGATTTTTCCTTTAATTAAATTTTTTTCTAATAATTAAATAATTTTATTGACTGATAAAATTGTGAATCAGTCCTGGCTGGTGTGTCTCAGTGGACTGAATTCTGGTCTGTGAACCAAAGGGTCACCACAACTGGGAACTGGGACTGCAACCCAGGCATATGCCCTGCACAGGAATTGAACCAGTGACCTTTAGCTTTGTGTGATGATGCCCAACCAACCAAGCCTCACTGGTCAGGGCTTATTTACTAATTTCTAAATATTAAATCAACCTTGCATTCCTTATAAAAACCACACTTGGTCTTCTTGCTGGATTTGATTTCCTTAAATTTTTGTGAGAATATTTGTATCTATGTTGATGAGGAATATATGCCTGTAATTTATTTTCTTTTTATATCTCTGTCTAGTTTTCATTTATAAAGCTAATGTTAGTATAACAGTGAATTGGGATGCTTTTCCTTCTCTTCAATTTTTGGTGATTGTGAAGACCCTGAGATAATAGAAGACAATTATATCCAGAGAAATTAGTCTTCTATAAAAAGTCAGCATTTTCTCTGACTGAATCATTCTCTTACTTCAGTGTGCATTAGAAACACCTGAAATTTTCTTCTGCATAGACATTTTGACTTAGAAGATCCAAAATGAATTAATAATTGGCCTTAACAAAGAAAAACAAATCCTCCCCAGGTTATTCTGTTATATAGATCTTTATTTTGAGAATTCTTAGTCTATTCAGTGTTTCTCAAATTATGTTTCATAGACCAGAAACATAAGAATCACCTGGGATTTTTTTAATGTGAATGTTCTTCCCCACTTCAGACCTACTACATCAGTTTCTCTGGGAGAGAAAGAAGGTGGCAGTCTGCCTTTCAATAGCTCTCGAGGTGACTACAACACACACTAACATTTGAGAACTACTGCACTATGTTAATAAGAGGAAATCAAAAAGGAATAAAATGCAATTAATTTTATATATTTTTTGTTATAAAGAGAGATGATACATTCTGTACTGACTTATTTTTTGGAACATATATGGAAGATCTGAAAGAGTGGGAGAGAGAGTAAGTGAGATGTTTGCATAGTGTGAAGAAGGTATGGATAAACTTTAGAAAAATGCAGGAGCAGGCTGATGAGATTGTTAGTCACTATTGGATGTCTATCTACCTAAGAAATGTGACTGTCAACCTTAATGGGCATTTATTTTCCCAACTGTGTAATTTTTCTCTCCAATATGAATTGTTCAAGGTAGAAGGGTAGCAGTTTCTTGGATTGTACACAGTTATTTTTCCGAGTGAGTAAAAGACAATGAGAAAAACATGCAGTAGATGAGGTTATTTACAACAGAGTAAATGGCAGTAATCATATTCTGTATGGTGTATAAAAAAGAGAAATGAAGACAAGGAGAGGATAATAACAGAAAGTTCTGAAGTCTATGGATAAAAGGTCTATATGAAATGGAAGAACTTTCTTGGTATAGACCTTTCAGAAAAGATCTGAAGTACTAAAGTAGTACTGAAAATAGTAACAGCTGAAAAGTGAAATGTTTGTTTATGAATTCTTATTTTTATGCAACAATAAGCTATAAAATGTGATCTTGATAATAGAGATTGAGATTACTGTGCCAGATCATTGGTACTGAGGAAGTCACAGAATGGGTGAATAAATGTTCACACATATACTGGTGTTCCCTTTTATTAGTGATATAAATCATAGTAGCTGGTGGATAAATTGGAAGCTGACAGCCAAGGACCAAATCATAAAATGCAGTGGTATCAGTGTCACATAAAATAAATTGGAAGTCATCACTGGCACAGGAAAGTTCTAGTGGACACATATTTGTTTGTATATCAGTTTATTTTGAACCCCACCTCAATTTCAAAAATATATGTGTTCCTGGTATGTCCTAAGGTCATGGAATATCTTTTGATAATAAGAAACCTAATTGTGATATATATGTATGAGTTCTGATTCAGCCAGGCAGTTCAGGGAGTAGCAACCAGTGTTCCTATAGACCATTGCAAAGAAATCAAGTCCTACTAACTTTCTCATATTTTCCTATTCATGACAAGACAGTTTGCTTTGAAAGGTTTTTACCAGCTCAGAAGAACAAAGATGGAAGTTGTCTCTTCTGTGCCCTGCTAACATCCATTCTAATTCTGTTTTTCATATCCACAGAGAGTGAAGAAGTTTATCAAAGGCAGGTGCTGTCAATTTCATGTATCATCTTTGGACTTATCATCGTGGGCATGTTCTGTGCAGCATTCTACTTCAAAAGCAAGTAAGACCATTTCTTTCACCTGTTAAAAGGTTACTTCTCAGAGAAAGCACTTTGTCATTCTTTAAGTTCTCAGCCTTTGCTGCAGGCAGAGAAATCTTAATGCAAATCGGTCCATCAAACATCTACAATGACTTAGAATCTTTTGTAGACTGTGGTGAGTGTATATAGCATCTGTATGCATGTGTGTGTGGTTTATCTTTGATGCACATAGTTATCATTTCTCTTTGTGATCATAAAAATGCTATTCTCTTTGTACATTTTGATTACTTAGAATTAAAGGTTTGGTGTATGCCTGTGATTTAGGAGTTAACTGTTCTGAACAGAAAAGTCACTGGTGTAGAACTAAACATAATCAACCAGTATCTAGACTTTTCTTTAAAAAAAGTATTCTCTTCTGGCCAAGATGGAAGCATAGGTGGAAACACTGTACCTTCTTACACAACCCAGTTTAAAGACAACAAAATTTTAGTAACAAAAATGCAACCAAAACACAAAAAATTGAACTGTATGAAAGTCAGACAACAACGAACCATTCAGCCAGACTGGTAAGAGGGGTGCAGTCAGTGACTGGCAGAGTAAGGTTGTACAGGAAAAAGTGGCCAGACCAACCGGGCTCACCGACGGTGATTAGCAGATCCCAGGTGTGGGGTGGCAATGGGCAGACCCAGTGAGGGCGCAAGGTGGCTGGCTGACCGCAGTCACATATTCACATGCAGATAAACCAGGTCAAAGAGTGAGCAGTGACACAGACCATGTAGGCTAGGCCCCCAGTGATGGAAATTAAAACCTAAAAGCACCAATTGAAAAAACATTCAGGGTCCAGGTGCTAGTAGAAGCTCCCAGACTCACAGAGAGTTTGTTGAAGAGACCCACAGGGTCCTGGAAGGTGCACAGGCTCACACACCTAGGAGCTGGCACCAGGGGTCCCAGTTTGCTTATAGGAAGCAGCAGAAGGGACCGAAATCCAAGAGAGAGCAGAACAAATTCCATTGCCCCTCTCTGACCCCACCCCCACATACAGTGTCACAACCCAGCAACTAGGTTGCCCTGCCCTGGTGAACACCTAAGGCTCCACCCCTCATATCTAACAGGCGCAAACAGACAAAAACATTATGGCTCAAAAAGAACAGCTCAAAGCCCCAGAGCCAATACTTCTAAGAGAACAAGAGCTAGGCAACCTATCAGATACACAGTTCAAAACACTGGTGATCAGGATGCTCACAGAACTGGTTGATTTAAGTCACAAATTAGAGGAACAAATAAAGGCTAAACTAATTGAAATGAAGGAAAATGCACAGGAAACCAATAATGATGGAAAGGAAACTGGGATTCAAATCAATAGAGTGGACCAGAAGGAAGAAATAAACACACAAACAGAAAAGAATGAAGAAACAAGATTTCAAAAAAATGAGGAGAGGCTTGGGAACCTCCAGGGCATCTTTAAACATTCCAACATCCAAATTATAGGGGTACCAGAAGGGGAAGAGGAAGAGCAAGAAGTGGAAATCATATTTGAACAAATGATAAAGAAGAACTTCCTCAATTTGGCAAAGGAAATAGACTTCCAGGAAATCCAGGAAGCACAGTCCTGAAGAAGTTGGACCCAAGGAGGAACACACCAAGGCACATCATAATTATATTATCTGAGATTAAAATGAAGGAGAGAATCCTAGAAGAAACAAGAGATAAGGGGATAGTCACCTACAAAGGAGTTCCCATCAGACAGTCAGCTGATTTCTCAAGAGACCTTACACTCAAGAAGGGGCTGAAAAGAAATATTCCAAATCATGAAATCCAAAGACCTACATCCAAGATTGCTCTATCCAGCAAAGCTTTCATTTAAAATGGAAAGGCAGATAAAGTGCTTCTCAGATAAGACCAAATTCAAGGAGTTCATTATCACTAAGCCCTTATTATATGAAATGTTAAAGGGGCTTATCTAAGAAAAAGAAGATAAAAATATGAACAGTGAAAGGGCAGCAAACTCCCAGTTATTAAGAACCACACCTAAAACAAAAGCAAACTAAGAGGACAGCTAAATCAGGAGTGAACCATAGAAATGGAGATCATATGGAGGATTATCAACAGGGGAGTGGGAGGAGAAGTGGGGAGAAGGTACAGAGAATAAGTAGCATAGACAGTAGGCAGAAAAGAGACAGCAGGATGGCAAGAATAGTATGGGAAATACAGAATCTAAAGAATTTGTGAAACATGGACATAAACTAAAGGGGGGATGGTGGAGGAGGGGGTGTGCAGGGTGGAGGGGAATGAAGGGGGGAATGAGACAACTGTAATGGCATAATCAATAAAATACGTTAAAAAGAAAAAAATATTATTTTTCTTTCATGGTATTTTACTTGATACTCATAAAGGTTTTAGACAAATATTAAATATGAATAATATAAAATCTATTTTGATTCAACAGTTGGTATACATATCTCAAATATGCTCTATAATTCTTTTGCCAAGAAAACAGACCTTTTGAAGATAAAGGTACTTATTTTTGATTAATAAAGCAGGCTATTAATATACATATATAGAGAGACATATATAAGTATATATGTGCATATACATATATATTTATTTGAAATGGACTTTGGTAAACGTATTTTATTTATGGAAATTGCCCCATCTGCACTTAAAATAAGACATGCAGATAAAAATGCTAAATTTTTTTTTAGTTTCTTGCAAGGCATGTAGGATTCAATATGTTGGCACAGATTCTGTTTCTCCAGCTTGTCTGAAATCCAGGTCAAATTATAGTTGCTTTTCATTGAACATATATTTTTCTCATTCATTTGCTCTTCTAAAATTGGATCAATTTCCAGATATAGTCGATGATATCTACCTGCATGTTGTATATGTTGATCTTTAAAGTAATAATAGAAACTCATGTATGAATCTAGAATTAGTAACCATTACTTTTTAATAAGCTATTTCAGAATAAAGTTAGATTTTCAGAATTCTTGAAAATAATACAGATAGAGCCCTTATACCCAGACTCATTTCCCTCTATTGTTGTCTTATATAGTATGATATATTTATTACTGATGCAGTAGTACTAACCAAATTTCATGCTTCCAGGGTTTTTTTTTTTAGTTTTTACCTAATATGTTTTTTTTTGTTGTTGTTCCAGGGTTACACCCAGGATGTTCCATTACATTTAATTATCACATCTCCTAGGCAACTCTTGGCTGTGAAAATTGTTAGTGTTCATTTTTTGTAGTGCTCATTTTATTCTTTTAATTTTTTAACAGATTTTATTGGGATACCGCTGATTAATAAAATTATATAGGTTTTAGGTGTTAGCACTCATTTTTAAGCACTTATCCTTTGCCAGAGATACTGGGCTTTTTATGTGTTTTTTCCCACTTTTTACAATTGGAATTGCATGTTGTTGCTGCATTTTTTAAATATCAGAATTTAATTTTTAAATATTATTTGTCAAAGTCACATAATAAAAAATTGCAGATGGGGTCTTCATTTTTTAAATAATTATTATTAATTTCCCAATTATATTGATATTCAATATTGTGTTAGTTTCAGGTATATGACATAGTGATTAGACACTTATATACTTTACCCCAAAGACAGATGGGGCCTTTGAATTTCCACAGTTCTAGTTTAAATTGTGATTTAAATGTGCTCTGCACCACTGCATCATATTTGTCTCATATAACCCTTTTACTAGATAATGAAATTGCTTGGAGTGAATCAGGAATGTCTTCCCCAGTGCAACCCAGGACACTATTTATTTATTTGTCTAGGGAGGCTACATTATATAGTGGTCAGGACTTCACACATGTCAGCCATGCCTGCATTCACATCTTCAGTCTGCCACTTGCTTGCAAGTTATATCCAGTCCCTTGCCCTTGGTTTCCTTTTTGGTAGAATATGGCCAAAAATATATCTACCTCCTAGAATATATTAAGGATTAATGGGATAATACTGTAAAAATGACACCATAGTGTTCAAAGAGTAAATACTCAGTGAAGGCTTGATGTTGTTAACAGCAATGTGTTTCTGCTCCAGAACTTAGAACCTGGCGAACCTGAAGCAAAAATGTACAGTGGAGCAGAGAGGAGTAATCACTCCTGACTGGGCTCTACAAGGGTCTCCTTATGCATGTTGTATGCAAGAAAGAAATTGTGTACGTGACAACAAGCAAATTACTATGAAGTAGTACTTTATCACTTATTTTTAGAGTATAATTTATGGTGGAACAACCCCCATAAATTACACTCTAAATTAAATTAAAAAGTGATTATCACAGCCCCAAGAATAGAGAATAGGTGAAAAACTAGAGGACTTCTTTCTCCAGAGCTATCAGTCTCCCCCACTCTGGGAAGCAGGTATGCTCTGAGGCCAACATCAGGAGCTCAGGAAGCTGTCAAGGGGTTTAATGAAAACCCTGTTCAATGTCAGATTCATTATGGGGGGCTCAGAGGACTGAGCCACCAGAGCTTGCTCAGCTGGGACACGTTTTCATTACAAAACAAGTAAGAAAATGCAAGAAGAATAAAGTGATAATAAAATTTGAAGCCTTTTCCGAGTGGAGTTATAGTTCTCATTAAGAATATATTTTCTTTTTTGAATACAATTTTCACGCATGGTCTTCATTTGTTTTTCTTGGCCTGAGAGGAATACCACATCAAACACTAAGCATCTAATCTATATAGCTGAAAGCAATGTACATTTTTATAACAGAGAGTGTTATGACACTAACACTCTGTGTTTATTGCTGGAATTATAAGTCGCCTCCAAAAACCTTGGGCAGACTCCACCTTGACCTTTCCTCATTTTCAGACATACTTTAAGGTTTTGTACATGTATAATTTCTCTACCTTATCTCAAAAGGCCCACATCTTCTAGGATTCTAGGGCCTTTCTATCATTGGTTTCCAAATACATTCAACTTGAACCTCCATCATATGTACTGGGTTATACTGTTTCTGGCCAGAGAGAGTCGGGAGTTAGCCCAAATCTCACATTTTCTTGGTCATTTATGTTTTAGTTCCTATAATCCCTGATTCCACCATTCCTGTCTTTTTTCCATTCTCTTGTCACTCTTGGTATGGCATGACCTCACCAGGTAGAAAATTACAGAAAATTGTTAGCTCGTGAAAGTTTGAAGTAATATGATTAGGTAGAAGAGAAGAACACTGTCTTGAATTTAGACAATTTTCTGAGTTAATTAAACCCCAACATCTCTGAAGGACACAATGAAGGAACTTCTCATCACTCAAAATAAGTCAATATATTCTATATTTCCCAAAAGTTAAATTAGGAATTACTGAAAATATAGTATTTCTATTGAATTTTCAAGAGAGTAATTGGGTCCTTTCTCTATGTCAAGCCTCCTCTTACTGCTTCATGATTATTTATTCATGTGGGACCTGGTTTTCCCTCTGCTTCATCAATGAATCCTGGTAGGATTTTGTGGCTGTAATGTGCTTCTAAAAATGCCGATGATTGATTTATTTTTAACAGTAGGCTACAGGTTAGCTGTTAGGAAGTAGATAGGTTAGTATAACTGGATTAAAGCAACTAAAAGGTCCTGGAGATAAAAGCAACACCCACACTACTGCCTGCAAATGATTGAAAATATGAAAGAGGTATTTAAACAGAGTACATCACACTCACGTTGTAAATTCAAAAGAAGTAATGATGCTCAGAATCTCCAAATCCTGTAGAAAATGCTATGACTTGCTTGTGAGACATGTAATTAATACTATCTTTTCTTTCCACTTTGAACCACTGTTCTAATTCCTATGCAGCATCCTTCCCATCCAGGCTTGCTAAATGATGAGGAAGGGAAAAGATCAATATTCCACCTGTGCTCTCACTTTAGTTCCCACAGTATGGAAGATAGCTTTTAAAAACTCTATCTGCAGGCTAGGAGACTCCGGGCGTGGGGTGGCAATGGGGCAGACCCAGCGAGGCAGTGATTGTGAAGTGAGGCACTACATGCAAGGTGCCTAGCTAACTGGAAGGTCCCACATTCACATGCAGATAAACCAGGTGAAATTGGGGAGTGAGACAGACTGCACACCCCAGGGCCCCAGTGCAAGGAAATAAAGCCTTAAAACTCCGATTGAAAACACCCGTGACGGTTGAGGCAAGGGAGAGGGCCCAATCTCACAGGAGTTTGTTGGAGAGACCCTCAGGACCCCAGAACATACATAAGCCCACCCACTTGAGAATCAGCACCAGAAAGGCCCAGTTTGCTTAGGGGAAATGGTGGAAGGGGCTGAAATCCTACAGAGAGCAGAGCAAGTGCCATTGTTCTCTCTCCAGCTCCACCCCCACATACAGCATCACAACCCAGTGACTGGGTTGCCCCACCCTGGTGAACACCTAAGGCTCTGCCCCTCACTATATAACAGGTGCGTCAAGACAAAAAAAAATGGCCCAAGGAAAGAACAGATCAAAGCTCCAGAAAACATACAACTAAGCAATGAAGAGATAGCCAACCTATCAGATGCACCAGTTCAAACCACTGGTGATCAGGATGGTCACAGAATTGGTTGGATTTGGTCACAAATTAGATGAATAAATGAAGGCTACACTAAGTAAAATGAAGGAAAATGCACAGGAAACCCATAGTGATGGGAAGAAAACTGGAACTCAAATCAAGGGAGTGGACCAGAAGGGAGAAAGAAACACCCAAACAGAAAAGAATGAAGAAACAAGAATTCAAAAAAATGAGGAGAGGCTTAGGAACCTCCAGGACATCTCTAAATGATCCAACATCTGAGTTATAGCGGCACCAGAAGAAGAAGAGGAAAGAGCAACAAGTGGAAAACATATTTGAACAAATAATAAAGAAGAACTTCCCCAATCTGGCAAAGGAAATAGACTTCCAGGAAGTCCAGGAAGCTCAGAGAGTCCTAAAGAAGTTGGACCCAAGGAGCAACACAAGAAGGCACATCAAAATTCCCTTAGCCAAGATAAAAATGAAGGAGAAAATCTTAGAAACAGCAAGAGATAAGGAGACAGTTACCTGCAAAGGAGTTCCCATCAGACTGTCCCCTGATTCCTCAAAAGAGACCTTTCAGGCAAGAAGGTGCTGGAGAGAAGTATTCCAAGTCATAAAATGCAAGGACCTACATCCAAGATTGCTCTATCCAGCAAAGCTATCATTTAGAATGGAAGAGCAGATAACGTGCTTCTTAGATAAGGTCAAGTTAAAGGAGTTCATCATCACCAAGCCCTTATTTTATGAAATGTTAAAGGGACTTACCTAAGAAAAAGAAGATAAAAAAGATGAACAGTGAAAGGACATCAAACTCACAATTATTAACCACACCTAAAACAAAAGCAAAACAAACTAAGCAAACAACTAGAACAGGAACAGAACCACAGAAATGGAGATCACATGGAGGATTATCAACAGGGAAGTGGGAGGAGGAGAAAGGGGGAAAAGGTACAGAAAATAAGTAGCATGGATGGTAGGTAGAAAACAGACAGGGGGAGGGCAAGAATTGTACGGGAAATGTAGAAGCTAAATCCTCACCCTTTAGTTCATGACACATGGACATGAACTAAAGGGTGAGGATATGGGTGGAAGAGGGTGTGCAGGGTGGAGGGGAATGAGGGGGGAAATGGGACAACTGTAATAGCATAATCAATAAAATGTATTAAAATATAATAAATAAAATCTCTACCTGTAGATTAGGAAACTGAGGCTCAGAGATGGTTAGGATATCAATCTTTTTTTTTTTATTTAGGATGCAAATCCCAGTCACTCTGATACATGAGCCTGAGATCTGCAGAGTGCTTCCTGGCTGGTAAACCTCCCTGCAAGAGCCAGTGTTCCTATGTACTCCACTAGTGCTCTCTGACCTTCATAGGGCCTTGGAGAAGATGCAAAGTTGATGCAGATGATTGTGCACTTTTTTTCTTTCCTTTCTTTTGTTTGTTTGTTTCATTGGTGCTGCTGATAGTTAATTGCTGCAAAGCTTTAGGGAGAGAGCAGCTAATAATGTAGTGATTTGTTGCATCTCAGATAAAAGTCACCTCACATATGCAGGCAGGAGTACTTTATTTAGATTCTAAAATCTGAGAACAAGCTTCACATTCACACTAAGAAGCTATGGGTCATAGGCAAGTGGTTTGACAATTAAGAGTGATGTTTAAGAGGATAGACTATGCAGCCACCCTGACTGGGCTCAAATCCAGCTCCACTACTTACTAGCTGTGTGAATGCGGGCAAACAATTTAAATTTCTGTGCCTCAGTTTTCTCATCTAATAAATAAGTATATGGAATTAATGCTTCATCACACAGAATTATTGTGAAGAATAAGTGAACTGATATTTGGCACATAGTAGGTGCTCTTTAAGTATTAACTATTTTTGTTATTTACAAAAAATTACAAAGGGATAAAAATTATATGTAGGGTTGATGATATCAATAAATGAGCTGTTTCTAAATGGTAAAAAAAGAAAATATACACATGTTATTGTATGCACACAATCAAGCTATACATATTTGAATTGTGCAGATATAAATGACACTTTTCAAGTATGTTATATGTGGCTGTTAGGCCCAAGCTTCACATTTTCCACTGGTCACTTTTTCAGAACATTTCCAATTATTTGCATCTGATCACTGAGGGGTTGGGATCTATTGTATCCGTGAGGGCAAAGACTATATATTATGTTTCTGTCTTCAGAGCATCATTGGGTGTGAGTCTGTGAGTGATGATGGGTAATACCACATTCTCTCCAAATTGGAAATAGTTCTTGGTGGAGTCAAAAATGAGGGAAGGTTTCTCTTTGTTAACTGAGTTTATCCAGCTTTAGTAACCGACAAATATAGATGATAGGAATGAATGAAAAATATGCATAGCATAAATTTATTTTTTATTTAAACCAACAGAAAACAAGCTAAACAAATTCAAGAGCAGCTGAAAGAGCCACAAAATGGTAAAAACTACAGTCTCAAAGCATCCAGCACAATGGCAAAGTCAGAACACTTGGTGAAGAATCATGTCCAGCTGCAAAATGTAAGTTACATGTCTCTACCTCCCTTCCCACAGCTCACCTCAGTGCTTCCAGTCCCCAGGGATGGGGAGCCTGCAATCAGACACACACACACACACACACACACACACACAAACACACACTAGTGCTTTATAGGTTTTTTTAATATCATATTGCAGTCCCATGTGTTCACATGAATGAATAGGTGTCTGAATGAAAGAAAAAGAATAAATCTCGGCTCTTGATCATAACAGGTAATACAAATTAGTCTCTGGATGCAAAAAGAATTTCAGTTGCTTGTTCCATAATCATTTACTGAACCTTTACTTTCACATCATAAATCATGCTGGGCAGGAAGGATACAGTGTTTCCTACCAGATGGGAATTTATGTATAGTAAGAAATACAAACACCAGAACCAGAGGCGTGTAGGCTGAGATGATTGATATTGGAACAGAAATTGGAGAAGAAATGAGAGGGGGGTGGGGGTGAGGAGAGGTGAAGCATGCATGGAGTCTTCCTCTTAATAAAGTCAAGTTTGAGCTGGGTTTTGAAGAATATAAAAGGTTTATCAGATAGTCAAAGATTAAAGGACAAAATACTAGAGCAAAGAGAAAGAATAAAATTATGTAATCTTAAGAATTCATGCTATGCTCTGGCACTCCAACATAAGGGGTGTGAGAGAAGTTCAAGGTAAGAGAGACGGGAGGTGAGAGTTATGGTCTCAGTCAATACTTGTAACAACTTGAAATTAAATGCAAACTTTGAATCCTATGTCTTTCTAAAATAGTTTTAATCATTTCTGAGATATACTGCAAAACACTAATTTTAAGGCAAGTGACTGCTGTCTAAGGCATACTGAAATATTCCTCTCAGGGTAGTAATTTTGCCCCCACACAAGACTGCACTTTCAGATTCTCAGGCACAAAACGAAGAAACAAAGTCCATGGTGTAAACCTAGTATTTGAGTATAATAGGCAATCACCCAAGATATGTTCCACCCCTCCAAATGTGTAAATCTCTGGGAATTTATACATCATTTGTGACTCTAAGAAATAATTACCCCAAAAGTTACCATTATATTGGGCATAACAGATGTACTTAGATGTTTCATGCAGAGTTCATAAATGAGAATTGCTTCCCAGCAAAGTTTTTTTTTAACTGGTAATCATGGCTATGTGCAGAGATTGTTCTTTTCTGAAACAGAGAGAATGCTTTTGCTAATGATTTCTAGTGGATATAATCTCACAACTTTAAAACAAATATAGTGGTGGAGGGCTTCAATTACTTAGCAACTGGACCTGTCAAAGATTAACAAAGCCAGCCAGTAGTTCAAATGATAAAGACTGATTGTAATCAATAATATACTATTGCATTATGGAAGAGGGTCCGTTGTGAACTGGACTCAACTTCAATTTGTACAGAGGTGACTTGGTGTTTTAAAGAAAAGATGATGGAATGGGGAGGGGAAATAGTGGGGGTTTCAGAGAATTAGGGAAGTAAAAAAATTATAGAGTTGGTCAGTATGAATGTGACTAGACTAGCTGTGTCTGTTTGCTAGCAGTTATTGAATTCAGGATTCTGTACTTCTACAGAGACTGGGAGACAGAAGCCCTATCCTTCCTATTGATTACATTTCAAAGAAATGGTTTTCAGGTCCTTGAGAGACACTCCTGAGATGCAGGAGAGACACATCAGAGTGACAAAGAAGGATTTATGATTGTAAACCCTTTTTAGCAAATGCTCTAGAAAAGGCAGGTCAGGGACCCATGCCCAAGTGTTAGCTAGATCAAACTGTAAATTCCTTTGGAGACCTTGAGAGGTTTTTGTTGTTGTTTTAGTTTTGTTTTGTTTTGTTTTCAGGCAAGCCCTTTAAAGTATATCTAGGGTCATCCTAAGGATGCAGTCTTGAGCTGGTAGAAACTATGTTAGAGTTTATTAAAGTCTTTTAGTGTGTCTGTGAGTGGATGAGTAGATGAAATCATTAGGACTAAGAACCAGCAATTTTCATAGGCCAATGTGTAGATCTTGAAAAGAAGGCTTGGAGGAGCCTGTCTAAAGTTTGCCTGTCAAGAAGAGTGCCTTTGTAAGACCCTGTGCATTTTACAAGGTTATAGCAAAACACATATACTGTTTTGTATCCTTTTTTTACCCCACTAAACATCTGATCAATACCATATTCTGTCTGATTTGTAATTTCTAGAAATTCATTTGGGAGATAGTGTAAAAATTCACACATAGTGGCCACTTCACACTTTTTCATCCTTCCCCCCTCCTAGTAGACATTTATGTTCTTTCCATTGCATTTTATGAAAGCAATATTAAAATAAACTTCACTCCTGTGTTTCTCTCACCCTTCATTTGATTATATTTATTAGGGTTAGACAAACACAAAGGAAATTACTAACTGTAAGGATTCCAGCGCTTGAAAGACCTTTGAATACAGGTGATCTTCTTTTCTTTTTTTTTTCTTCCTCTTCTCTTTTCTCCAGCCTGTGTCTCCTGCCAGGACATTTTGTATGTTGTCCCAGAGCAGCAGAGGGTGGGCCCAAATGGATCATTTCCATGGGGCTCCTGCTAGGACAAGGGGATACATCCTTTTATGCTCATCCCATTTTTTAATAAAGAGGGTGTATATAAAGGACATTTTGTCTCTGAGTTGTGATGAGGTCAGCTAGGATAACACATTTCAAGAGGTCATCAGTCTACAGGGCTAAACAGAAATTGGGAATTCAGGCAGAGAATAGACATGAGAGGAAGGCTTTTAAGGACCCTGAAAAAAGAAAAGTGCATTAAAGACACATATGTGTGCCGACATGAAGTAGGGGGCAGAGGTGCTGATAAATACACTCTAATGCACAGGATAGCCACCCCCAACAGAAAAATTACCAAGAGTGGTATGCAAGTCCAGAGCCCAAGCTCAAGCTGCAAAATGTGTCCATTAAGCCTAGCATAGGAGTTCTGTCACCACCTTTCCCATGCTTCCATTGCGAGCAATTATTTCTACTATGTGGTGAATGCCATGTTATCCAAGTATACTATAATCCTTGGGAGGAAAAATTTCCTACTTGCTTACTGTATCAGGGAAATCTGTCTTTATTTTATCTTGAAGTGCGGGTTAACTTGTTTGCAAATTGTAGTGTTTAACAAATGAATTACCCATGTCTGGCATTCCCTTAAGTTAATTAAACATTCAAGGGGAAGAGTTTTACTTTACAGTTATTTAACTAGATGTGGAACACCTGGTCCAGTGAAGCGACATGATAGCCTGGAAACACTTGACTTTGAGGCTGCAGAGCTAGACCTGGCTATGAATGCCTTAGAAGCATCTAGTCTTCTCCATCATTTATAGATGAAGCTTTTGTCACATAAAGAGATGCACTGAACTCATTTACTTGAGAGAGACAGTCAGGGCTGCAATTATAACCTCCAGATGAGTCAAGGGAGTAAACTTCTCAGCCTGGTTCAGGAATCAGAAAGAGAAGTAATCAAAAGCAAGAGGGTGTGTGTGTGTGTGTGTGTGTGTGTGTGTGTGTGTATTCTAATAAGTACCAGACACTATGTTAAAGATCAGAGAAATAATAATGACTGAAAATGACATTGTCTCTACTTTCAAGGAGCTTACTGATTACTCTAGGTGATAGAGGCTAGTCAAATAATACACCACAACAAATGTGCCAAGACCTATAGCCAACAGTGAACAGCACTGTTAAAGCTTATAGAAGGCTGGTCTGGGAGTTAACCTGACAATGGGAACAGCAAAGAACTCTGAGAAGAGGCAATTAACAGGTGCTCAGTCCCCTGACTGGGCAGACACCTAGTTGAGGTGGGGTGGTAGGTAAGTGGTAAAGAGTGGGGGTAGAGAAGAGTACTTGCCATGCCTTGTGTCTGGAAAGGGTGTCTATCTATTATTTTGCTTCAGTGGAAATGCACTAAAATTTGATAACAATTCTTATAGTTTTTTTCTGTTCTGATACATTGTGCCAAATTTTTCAAAATAGCAACAATGGTCAAGTTGTTTTTAATTACATTCATTATAGATTCATATGAAATCATGCTCTAAAACATAACCACTCACTTTCACCATTCTCTTGGCTAATGAGTCAGACTTGAAAGAAAGAACGTGTGTGGGTGTGAGTTTCAAAAAATCTTTTTTGAATGTGCAAAGGTACAATACTTGCTTTAACACAATTATAAGATGACAAACGTATTTTTCTACTCCATCTCAAGCTTACCATTAGTTAAAGATGCAGAATGATGTCAGTTGACCTGTACCATGAAAGCTCATTGATTTGCTAGAGAATCCATTGTGAAAAATTAAATTGCATTATGTCTGCAATGAATGATTCTCAATGCCCTCTTTTAAAGAGTTGATAACTGAATACTATAGTTAAGCACAAATACACATGTTGTGTATATATACGATGTGAATTATTGTTTTTAAATTAAACTTATTAGGGTGACATTGGTTAATAAGATCATATAGGTTTTGAGTATAGCATTCTATGATATAGCATCTGTGTATTGCATTGTATGTCCACCACCCAAAGTCAGATCTTCCTTCACCATGTATTTGACCCCTCTTATCCTTTCCTCTCCCTTCCTCTGGTAGCCACCATGCTGTTGTTTGTGTCTATGAGTTTTTGCTTGTTTGTTTTTCTTATCTGTTCATTCACTGTTTTCAGTTTTATATTCTACATATGAGTGAAATCACATTGTTCTTTTTCTGTCCAACATTTTACTTAGCATGATATTCTCAAGATACAGCCATGTTGTTACAAACTGCAGTATTTCATGCTTTTTTAATTATTAATTTTATTCATGCTTTTTATGGTTTAGTAGTATTCCACTGTATATATGTACCATATCTACTGTATATAGTCATTTAGCCAAAACCATTTCAGTTGTTTTTGTGTCTTAGCCACCATGAATAATGCCTCAATAAACATAGGGGTGCATTATTTTTGTGAATGAATGTTTTCAAATTTGTGGGGTAGATAGCCATAAGAGGGGTTCCTGAGTCA